CATCGACTTGACCGTCAATTGCACAAAAAGTTAGTCAAAAGGACTTGACATACTTGGGATCTACGAACACCATCAACAGTCCGTTGAGTGAATGATGGCTCGTCAATTGGTAAGTAGTCTCTACACCAGACCATTTTCGGTAGAATACTCGAGTTTGGTCCTTCCACATTGAACACCTATTAGGCTATTCTTTTTATGTTTTTCAGGAAAATTTTGAGACACGTACCCTAAACTACTTTCTAGACAACACACTAAGAATAATACATGAATATGAGCTTTGTAATGAGAGAAAATCATTCATTTCATTCCTTCAATGTTCGGTCACCTTCATGAGAATGGTTGAAAGTATTCTCTTAATGTGTTTCACCTTATAATCTTTGAGGCTCTTTCTCTCACTGGGGAGGTGGTATATGTATCTTTCCTCCTATTCTAGGCTTCGACCTTCATCATCCTCTTTGCCAAATAATCAATCTGAGTATAACGTGGGTAGAATAAAGTCTAATACTACCTCTAGGTTCATTTTAGCCACATTGTCGAGTAGTTGAACTGCTGCTGAGTATTGATGCTTTCCAAGACCACCCGGAACAAGATTGTTAACAGTCTCTTGGTTATGAGGCGGAGACCTCGGTAGAAACAATTAATGAGTATTATGTCAGGAAAGTTATGACTCAGGTATTGAGTAATTATTCCTTTAAACCTAGCCCAGGACTGGTGAATCCTTTCACCTTCCAATTGTTTGAAGGTTAGGATTTTTCCCGACTTACATTATATCTAGTGTAGGCCATTCAAATTTTTTGCATGTAGCACATTACATACTCACCTTAAACATTAACAATCAAAATAAAAACAAAGCTTAAAATAAGGTTAGTAGAAACTCTAACTAAAAAGAACAGAAATCAAAATTTAACTACATCTTTGCATAACACCACTCCGACATCGACACCATTTTGATGCTTATAGTGACCAACGATACTAACCTACGGTATGAATGTCTACGATCGTCAATTGTTTAGTAACCCAACCAAGGGTTAGGGTCGGGTTCATGTCCCAAGGGAGTGGTTTCGAGATGATGTAGTCAACTAGAATTTTATTCTTATTAGTCTTATCTAAAGAATTTAAGACATAATAACATTACAAGTCAAAGTAATGAAACCAAAGGTCAAATAACGAATGAAGGTTTTGTCACAAGTATAGGTAGTTTGGTATATGCTTTCGATAGGAAATTTGCAAGATAATTATTACTAGGTTAAGCGTTGGGTGGAAATAAGTTCCCTCTCGGGCAACTTACCCCATTTCCAATGTGTTCCTCTTGGACACCCATTTGTTGCATGAAGACCAGCCTATGCTTTAACCCACTCGCTTTCTCGATCTGAGTGTTAGGATATTGGACTAGGGCTCACCCTCTCAGGCTGAACCTCTTGTCGAGCACTTCTTAAGCCATTAGTCTTGTGGTCTTAGTTTCGCGACCTCCCTCTCGGGCAAGCTTAAAACAGATGGGTTAGGTTGTATTTGCAACTACAAACCTATTATGTTAAACCATAACAACTAGGTGAAATCACCATTAAAATAAATTGATCCTATATGCAAGCAATACCCAACTAGAATATCAACTCATATTTTCTATACCGCACCCAAAGAATAGGGTTTCTTAGCCACGCATCAAGCTATAACAAATTACACCTAAAATGATAATGAAATCAGAATGATATAAGAGATTAAACCTTAATAGTGAGAAAAGGAAGAAAAATACAGAATAATCACTTCCATCTTGGGGAACATGAAACCCTTCCTTCTTCAAGTCCCCCACAAAACCCTCCCTAATCTTGAGATGAAGTTCTGAAAAAATTAATAACAATGTTCGGAATATTAATATAACACCTACAACTAGTATTTATAGGTAACTGATTAGGTGTTGCACCAGACTATTCGGCGAGGCTAGCCGCGATCAACGAATGACTGGGAGATATACCCTTCTTCTGGTTAATCATCTTTTGTGCTATGCCTTCAACATGGTTGTGACATGAATCATGGGGTGGCATATGTCTGCTTTGCAGAAATTTATGGCGACACGCGGAGTTCTTCTTTCATCGCCTTTAGATCCACTTCCTTAAGAATTTTATGTACTGTAACAAAAGGTAGAGTTCTTCACTTCTGTGATTCTCCAAGTGTGATTGGCAAGGCTCAGGCTTCAGTTGTTACGTTCTTTTGTTTTTTTGTTCCCTTTTTCTCGTAAGTGTTCATGCTTCTACTAAAACTTCAAATGCCTTAGACTTAAGAATTTTCATCATATATTGAGACTAAATAAGCAATTGAGGACACTATTTCTAAAAATAAAGCCCCAAATGAGTCCAATTGGTGGCTTATCAGTTGTGTCCAGTTATGAAACCACACACTAGTATGTCCTTTTCTAGGTTCCCACCAGATCTCTTGATCAAAGAAATCCTTATCTTGTAACATAGCTCTCCAGACTTGAGATCCTACTTTCAAGTCCACCAATTGTGGCCTTTATCTTTTACTGTACTTATTTTACATAAAAATTTTCCATATGGTATTTTTGTTTATAAAATTCCACCACATCCTAGAAATGAAGATTTGGAGACAAGAAATAAAGATCTAAAACCTAAACCTTACTCCTCATTGGGAAGAAAATTATCCCCCCACGCTACCCAGTGAGTTTCTCTTCCTTCTTCTTGAATTTTGCAAATGATTTATGAATATAATCAATGATACATTTAGGAGGCCTGATCGCTTAGAGGAGGTAGAGATGAATGCTATACATTGTTAATCAGTAGTTGCCCCCATAAGATAGAAGTTTCCCTTTCCACATTTGATGTTTATTCTATATTTTCTTGATGGGATCTTCGAAATGAATCGGACAACCCAAGTAAGTTAAAGGAAAACTCCCTTTGCATAAATCTTTGATTTCCTCCACCATCTGAACAGAACTATGAGAAACTTTATTAAACAAATAAAAGAAACTTTTTATTTGTTTTAAGATGTCCTGATGATTGTTCATACATTGTAAATGTTTGAATTATCAACTAGAGAGGACTCCTATCAGCATAGGCAAAAATAATTGTAGTTTTAGCATAGGAAAAGTGATTCATTAGTTCTCTCCATTTAGGAAGACCTTATCCTCTATATACATCTTCTACGTATAGTTGATTTAGAGCTCTAGTTAATAGCTTAGTAGTGAGTATACACAAAGTAGGAGATAGAGGATCTCCTTGTTTAACCGCCGTTGGTAAATGAAAAAAACATGTGCTAGCTTATGAATTAATAAATAGTACCAATCATTAGTAATAATGCTCCTTCTTCTACAATTAAATTTTTTGATTGTGCCAATGAGCCGTCAGATTTAGTAATTTTCCTTATGTAAAGTGTCTTTCTTCTTCCTCTATGAAATAATTTATTGTTCATGTCCCCTTCTTCAACCATTGCACACTAGCTTTTTGTCTACAAAACTCTTCTTCAAAGGGTATAAAAACCTTCAGCTCTGCATGAGCCGTATGAAGAATACTTATGATAACGATAGATGGATCGTCAAGAAATACTTGCTTTTTCAATTTCTATCTCTTCTATAATTGCTGGTTGTTTAAAAATATCCCCAAATTTTTCTTTACTCCACTAGGCTAATGCTTTATTTGTCCTCTTTTGTTTTTGCTTCAGCTATACAAAAATATCATCTAAACTCTTAACCACCCAATTATGTTACACCACTTTTTCAAAATCTTTTCTTTCAGTCCAAAACATGGGAAACCTAAAGGTTTTACAATATTGAATGTTTTTGATTGTGGGAATAAATTTTTTCTTACAGAATTTTGAGAATTTTTCGTTGAACTAGACCCATGTATACGTATTGATATCAAGATATATAGTATTGTTGGATCTACATCAACATCCAAGAAGGACAAAGTTACATTTGTTGGGTTTTTAAAGGTGTGAATGGAAAATTAAGAGTTGCAACTTTTATGAATAGTTGTGACTTCTATGAATACTAATGACTTTAATGAAGAGTTGTGACTTTTATCGAAAGTTGTGACTTTTACAAAAAGTTGTGACTTTTATGAAAGGTTGTGACCTTTCTGAAACTTTGTGACTTTTTCAAAGGTTTGTGACCTTTACAATAAGGTACAATAAGAACCTTTTAACACTGTCCTTTGTATTATATAAATTTAGGGATGTCCTCTCATCTTAGTTGAACAAATTTTTCTGGACTTCTTCGGCTACTCCTAAATCTAGTCTTCTAAGGGTACTTTACTACCGTAGAGTGGTTCGCTGATTTCATGGTTTTAGGTACTGATACATTAGTGAATAATATCGTCCAATCCTAGGAGGATATATTCCATTAACATCGGGTGGTTGAGGGTAAAAATTTTCTTAAGAAGACACTGTGCATTCAGTAGACTCGATATTTTTTCTTTGAGAAAAGTTTTTTTTTATATTTTTTTGAATATGTTACTGATTCTATTTTCTCTGCCGGTTTTAATTTTCTAGTTTGAAAATATGTTTTAAACTATTTTGTTTTTTATCAAGTTCTTCAAGTTTTATTAGTTTCTTATGAATACAAAATTAAACAACAATCATAAGGAAATTATTTTACTCTTGGTATTTCTCTTGTTCTTATGATTGAGAGAAACAAATTATGGAAGTAGAAGATTAATACATTACTTCTCTAGAATTGGGTGATTTGTTTATAAAGGTTGAACTGAGAATATACCATAATAATTGGTGGTATTTCGGTTAAAGATTATACTAGGTAAACTTCTTATTATTTATCTAAGGAGGAGTTTCTAAAAATTAACAATTTTGATATTTATCCCGTCTGTCCGTGGAAAAGATATGCAAACCATATGATTTTTGGATGAATATTCCTTGTCAAACAATGTTGTCTTTAAAATTGTTAATGCACATTTTTATTTGATAGTATCGTATGTCAAATTGTTATAGTTGGAAGACTATTTGAAAAGAAAAACATATCTATGTAATATTCTAAGAATATGTTTAATTCTATTTGGAGTCTAAAACAAACTTTTGTATTTTTGTACCTCATGTGAAATTTGATTGTGAATGATTTTTTTATAGTAAAAACTTTTGAAGTTTTCTAATCTAGATAAATTATATTATGCAATTGATTTGAAGAAAATAAAAACTTCACATAGTAAGTCAATGTTGGACTTTTGACTTCCCATAAACATCACAATTATATAGAAACAAATTGTACAAAAAAAATTATTCTTTATTGTTTGTATTCTAAATACTAAGTGGTATGTCTATTTGTGATTGAGGAAAAATGTCAGTGACTTGGAAACATTGTGTAAAGATTGTCAAATGAAATTGAATTACTATAATCTTTTTTTTGTAGAATAATATATTCAAAAGAGGTTTTATGTTACCAAGAACACTTTGATAACATGGGGAAAAATGTTGAAAAACAATTTTCAAATACTTTAAAAATATTTTTAAGATCATGTTATAAATGTGGACAAAGATAAATTAGATAGAAAATATAATTTAAATTTGGAGCACAAGATAAGAAATTTGATGATACTTTTGTACTATATTATACCCATAAAAGTCACGGAGTATATTTTATATTGTGGCCGTTGAGTTTCTCTTTTAATAATATATGGTATGGTAACATAAAACTACCAAATTATATTATACTTGTTTAAAATGAGTCAGTTCTTTTATGAAAAACGTACACTTAAAATGTTGTGACTTTTCATGAAAATATATCTCTATTAAAGATATATATATGTAAAAACATGAATTTTGTATTGTCTTTATTGGACCAGATGAAACATTATTCATGGGTAGTTCTATAACAATGAAATTGAAAGTTATGGAAAGGTCCTTCCAATAAGAACATTTGACAAGGTGAAGACTCTAATAATATTTGTATCACACAAAATTGTAAGAAATAGGAACAAATATTTGTGAGGAAAAACTACCTCGCAAAGTGATTTTCAAACTCAATATTTTAATTTTTTCCTACTTGCTTGAGCCAAACTGTTTGTAACATAAACACTTGGGGGAATGTCAATTACAAAACACTGATTATCTTATATTTTTTTTCTAACTTTGAGTGCAAAAATGTCAAGTTTATGTGAAATCTAAGTATGCTTAACATTTTTATAAATCTGTTGAAAGAAATTCTAATCCCTTAGAGTTAATTTACACTGACATTTGTGATATAAAGATAACACCAGGCTGTGGTGGGAAAATGTATCTCATACCTTTCGTTTACAATTGCATTAGAACTGACTATTTCTATTTGATGAATGTAAAGGATGATACAAAACAAACGTCTAACCTATATGATAACGAAGTTGAAAATTAATTGGGAGAAAGATAAGAAGTGATAAGGATGGAGAGTATAAATCTCGTTGTGGAGACATATGTTTGGGAACTGAAATTATCCATCAAACTGCCGCCCTATTCACCTCAATCTAATGAAAAACCAAACTTTGAAATACATGATTGATGAATTATTTATAAGTTCAGGTTTACCAGAAAATGTGTGTGGAGGAACTATCCTTACTTCACAAGGGAATAATAAAAAGATTTGTCTTTTCATAAAGAAAGCAATTTTGTTTGTTTAGGACATAATCTATTCAGTACGAGTAAAGGAAAGGAAGGAAATGTAACTTGAAATATTTTAACTGTGGGGTGTCTAGCGAAAGACCAAGTTCCTATTCCTAAAAGGATTAAAATAGGATCTAGCGAAGGGTCTAAAAACATTAGAAAAACGGGGAATGTACTAAATAAAGATATTTAGAGGCGTAGTAAATGTCAAAGGACATCTACTTCCTTCAGATATGAATTTGTAACTTTTTTTATATCTTATATTAGATTAATCCTTTTGGAAAGATGGTGTCAATAGTGAGATTAATTTAATCGTGAGCAACCATATTAGAAGTTATTTGATTTTTTTCCAAGAAAATAAACCTTTGGGTTTAGAATGAGTCCTAGATGGAAAATGTAAGGTGATGGAACTATTTACAAGTACAAAGCAAGACTTTTTGTGAAAGGTTGTAGACAAAAATAAGGTTTTTATTGTGTCAACACATACTCATCATTAAATATAATTATATTCATTCAGATGTTAATTACATTAGCTACGATATAGGATCTCCACATTCATCAAATGTATGTGAAAATAATTTTCATAAATGGAGAATTGTAGGAAGAAATTTACATGGAACAACTTGAAGGTTTGTTCTTAGTAAAGAAAAGAAAATGTGTGAACTTGTGAAGTCACTTTATGGACTAAAACAAGCACCGAAACAATCACATAAGAAATTTGAGAAAACTTTGTTGGTATATTTTTTTTAAGAATTAGAAAAGTGATAAATTTTTTTATATTAAAATCACAAGGTCATTGTTTGTATATTGGTGATATATATTGATCGTCAATAGAGACAGTAATGACATAAGTTCTAAAGATCGTGGATTTACAGATGTTATTTTAGGTATAAGAATCCTTAGAACTCCAAGAAGTTTAGTATAGTCATGTTTTCATTAGATTGAAATGATACTTGACTAGTTCAAATATTTGAATTTTAATATTGTCAGGACTCCATTTATGTGAGATTTTCACTTCAATTAATAAAGGTGAAAGTGACTCACAATTGGATTATGCTATAGTGTTGAGAAGTATGAGGTATATCATAAAGAGTACGCGATTACATATATCATGTGCTATTACTCAATCAAATTCATTGGACGACAATGAAAAGTGTTTTGGTGTATTTAGTATATACTGAAGCATATTTCTTGTATTATACAAATATCCTACAATATTGAAAGGATATAGTGATGCAAACTACATCACCAGAATCAAATGAAGTAAAATTCACGAGTCGATATATTTACTCTTGGTGGAGAGGCATTCTCTTTTAAATTTTCCAAACAGACGTGTATCCCAATATCTAAAATTATCTATCAGCTAGGTTCTCTAGAGAAGGCCGATAATTTCGTTGAAAGACACTGGAATTTCTTGATAGATTTTGTTTTTGGCCCAAACCATTTGCATCAGTTTGATTGTAAAGATGAAATAGGTAGGGCATGAATCATGATGTATAATAGAAAGTCTCATTCTATAATACATTGACATGATATCGTTAGAAAACTACTCTGTAGTGGAATTTCGCAATTGACTATATAAAGTCAAAGGATAATATGTCGGATACACTTAAAAGAAGGCATTGCTAGAGAGAAATATGAAATATCATATAAGGGAATGGTTTTATGGATTCAGACAAGTCATCACAGAGGTAACTCTATCTAGCTAGAGATCCCAAAAGCTAGATTCAAGGACAAAAATAAAGTTGTAATTGACGGTTTGACATTGTCAACCAAGTCATTGCATTCTCAGAAGGGAGAGCTTTTGGGATTTGTTTTGGGGTTTTGATTTGAGTTAGTGATTGTGAGAGAAAACTGAAGGAAAATAAATTTATAACCCTCCCCTAAAATACGAAAAAGACACCTCACTTAAATTAACCATTCAGTGAAGTCAAACTCGAATTCAAATTTCAGATTTTTTCTCGGGAAACAAATTCGCATTGCGGAGCTGCTCCCCCAAAATTTTCAAAAATAATTTTTTAACCAGAAGATTCTGCGATGTGTTTGATCGCAGACCAAGCTTTTGGACTTGGGTGTTCCAATTCTGCGATGCGGACTGGCTCCCTCCATGCACAAAAGCTGCTGCCTCTTGGCAGCTTGCTTGGTCCAAAGAGGGGTCCACGCAATCCTTGGGGGGTCAGACCGATACATTTTAATCCTATATATATTATTTTAACTATTGCAAGCCTTTTAAAAAGTTTTAGACTCGACACAACACTCCTAAACCTAACGAAGACTTAATGACGTTCACTAGTTAAATTTTGCTAGTTTTCGAATGTCATGGTCGTTTCTTAGCGTTTTGGTTCTAACACTTCTTAGAAAAATTTCATACAGATTTTTAGGTCTAAAATCATCATTAGTTATTTTGTGAATATCTAGTCTAGGTCATAGAATTTTTGGGGTGTGTTAATACTTCCCCAGTATGGAACATTAGTCCCCGAATGACACCTTCTGACCTTTAAAGGAAGAAAAGACTCAAGACTAGCAGCCCAACAACCAACAATATATATCAAATGAGTCAAAGATCATTGGATGAATTATCAACTCCTTTCAACATATAATTATAGCATTAACACATAGGAACTTAATCCGCAACATATCACATACATACGCTCAACTTTTCATATCATAAAAGGAGGAACTACCTTCTCCATTTCAATGTGAGCTCCATATGAACATCAAGAATTGTCATGCAGATTTCATATAAAAAAAACACCAAGTATGCTCAATACAGCTTCGATGAATAGTTATAGCACACCACATACTTAAGTGAAAGCCCACCATAAGAAACACATTTCATGGAAAAGAAACAAAACTCAACTTAAGCATGAATTTCTACATCAATATGCACATATTAGAAAAAAAATGATAATCCAATATTATTCATAATAATAATATAAAGAACTACTAATCTAAGCCCTGGGATAGGAGTTAGAGGGAAATACGTAAGGAGAGCGAGACTTCATCACGACCTCCACCTCTCATGTAGCTTCCTAAACAAGGTGGTTCCGCCATAGAACTTTTACGGAGACAAGATCCTTAATTTGTCGTTCAAGATGTCAAACGGGACCTCTTCACAAGAAAGGCCCTCTTTTACCCCTAAAACTTCCAGAGGAAGAATGGGAACCAGTTTCCCTATACACTTTTTGAGCATGGAAACATGGAATACTGGGTGAATCATGGCCAACTCTTTGGGAAATTTCAACTCATAGGCCACACTCTTGACTCTCATTAAAATTTCATACGGCCCCACATACCGGGGAATAAGTTTCCCATTCTTTCCCAACCTCATCACCCTTTTCATGGATGAAATTTTCAAATACACCCAATCTCCCACTTCAAATTCAAGTTCTTTCTTTCTATTGTCGGCATAAGATTTTTGCCAACTTTGAGCCATTTTTAGTCCATACCTTATAACATGAACCTTCTCTAGGGATTCATAAACTAAATTGGGACTTTTTAGAACATACTCACCTACCTCATACCACCGAACCTGGGATCTACACCTCCTCCCATAAAGTTTCTCGAAGGGTGCCATAGAGATAGACGAATGGTAGCTATTGTTGTAGGAGAATTCTTTCAAAGGTAGTTGGTCATACCAATTACCTTTGAAGTCCATAAAGCACACCCTCAAAATATCTTCTATGGTTCGAATAGTGCATTCCGCTTGACCATACGCTTGGGATGAAAGGCGGTACTAAGTTTCACTTTCGTACCAATCCCACTTTGTTAAGCCTTCCAAAAACGAGAGGTAAATTGAGGGTCTTTACCAGAAAGGATGGATAAAGGGACTCCATGTAGCTTCACTATTTCCTTGAGGTACAATTTGGAATAACCTTCTGCCGAATAAGTGACTTTGACGGGAAGAAAATGTGCCGACTCGGTAAATCTAGCCACAATGACCCATATGATAGTCATGTTACCTTCAAGTACAAGGCAATCAAACGATGAAGTCAATGTGAATATCATGCCACTTCCATGTGGGAATATCTATATTTTTAGTTAAGCCACCAGACTTTTGATGTTTCGCTTTTACTTGTTGGCAATTCGGATACTTAGCAACAAAATCCACTATGTCCCTTTTCATACCATTCCACTGATATGTTTCTCGTAAGTTGTAGTACATCTTTGTGGCTTTCGGGATGGAATATAGGGATCAATGAGCCTCTTCCATGATCAATTCCCTCAATTCATCCACATCTGGTACACACAATCTTCCTTGGTGCCTAAACACCCCATCTTCTCCTTGAGAGAAGGACTCATTAAATTTACTAAGGATCGTTTCCTTCAACTCAATCAATAGAGGATGAAGGTGTTGCTTGGATTTCACCTCAAAAACTAAAGACGACTATAAGTTGTGGAAAACCATCATACCACCCTTTGGAGAGTCTTTTAGTTAGACACCAAAACGAGCCAACCTATGAATCTCTTTTACTAACTCTTTCTTATGATCAACCACATGAGTCACACTACCAATGGACACTCTACTCAAGCATCCGCTACCACATTACCTTTTTCGGATAATAAAGGACACTCATGTCATAGTCCTTTAAAAGTTCTAATTATCTTCTTTGATGTAGGTTCAAATATTTTTGGGTTAACAAATATTGTAAACTCTTGTGATTAATGAATACATCAACATGTACCCCATACATATAATGTCTCAAAATTTAAAATGCAAAAACCACGACCGCAAGTTAGAGGCATACACTAATACTTTGCTATGTTGCATAAACACACACCCTAGACCCTCTCGGGAGGTATCACAATAAACCACAAACTCGTCGGTACCCTCCCGTGAAGTCAATACCTGAGTGGAGGTGAATCTATCTATTAAAAAATTTCTTCACAAAGTCCCGACCACTCGAACATGGATTTTTGTTTTGGGTTAAAGCCATTAAATGAGATGCAATAGATGAAAATCCCTCAACAAACCTCCTATAGTAACTGGCCAACCCTAGAAAACTTCAGATGTCTGTAGGATTAAAAGGTGTTGGCCAATTCTTGACCACTCCCGTCTTTCTCAAATCAACCTCTACCCTTTCACAAGAGACAATGTGGCCAAAAAATGCCACCGACCTCAACCAAGATTCACATTTACTAAATTAATCGAAAAAAGTTGGTTATCTTTGAGAACTTGCAAAACTATCCTCAAAGGACACTCTTGATCTCCTAGTATATCAATATATCATCAATAATGACAATCACAAACAAATAAACATAATTTCTAAAAACTCAATTAGTAAGGTCCATGAAAGTCGTCGGGGCATTAATTAGACCAAATGACATCGCTAGAAATTCAAAGTGACCATATCTTTTTCGGAATGCCATTTTAGAAATATCAATCCTATCACTCTAATTTGATGATAACCCGACCTCAAGTCAATATTTGAAAAGAAACTCGTTTTCAGGAGTTGATCAAACAAGTCATCAATCCTAGGAAACGGGCACTTATTCTTTATTGTGACTTTGTTTTATTGACGATAATCGATGCACATTATCAACGACCTATCCTTCTTATTTACAAACAATATCAAGGCATCCCATGGAGATATGCTTAGCTGAATAAATCCCTTATCAAAAAAAATCTTTAAGTTAAGACTTTAACTTCTTCAACTCTGTCAGGGATATCCGATAAGGAAGGATTGAAATAGGTTATGTATCAGGCAATAAATCTATGGTGAGGTCAATCTCTCATTCAAGAGGAATTTCAGGAAGATCATCGAGAAAGACCTCCGGAAATTCCCTCACTAAGGGTACCGACTTTATTGGAGGGACCTTTATCCAAGATCCCTAACTCTTACTATGTGGTAGAGAGAACCGTTTGCAATCAATTTGCAAGCTTTTAGGAATGAAATAATATTTCCCCTAGGATTTGAGTTTCCTCCCTTCCACTCAAAAATGGGTTCATTTGGAAATTGAAATTTGACTACCTTGTCCTACAATCAATAGAGTCAAAGAAGGCATGTAACCAATCCATTCCCAATATGACATCAAAATCTATCATATCAAGTACTATCAAGTCAACTAATGTAACTCTATTGGGAAATGAAATAGGACAACCTTTATAGACTCTTTTAGCCACCACAGAATCACCTATCAGGGTAGAAACCATAAAAGGTTGTCTAATATGTCGGGTAGTATTTAAAATTTCATGGATATAAGAGGGGTCACAAACTACATTGTAGCTCCCAAATCCAACAAAGCATATACATTAAAGGAAAATAATTGTAACATACTAGTAACCATATCCCATGAGCTCTCTTGATCACCTTGGAATTGGAGAGCATAAAGTGATTCTTCTTAGGAGCATCCGGATTTGGGGAACTTGCTTGAGCTTGAGAATTTTTCCTTCCTTGAGCTTTAATCAAAGGGCAATATATCTTCATGTGATCACTCTTGCCACAACCATAGCAATTACCTATGCCAACTAGGCACTTACCATCATGTTTTCTACCACATTTTGAACAAAAAGGCTTCTCAACATAAGTACTACCACTTTTCCCCTTTTGGGGATTAGGAGTAGACACCTTACTCTTGTTGAACCATGGAGAATTAGGACTTCCTTGGTTGAAAAACCTCCTTTTGAACCTTCGTTTGTCTTACACCTCAGATTTAGTCTTGGAAGAATTCCCATCTTCAGTTCTTACCTTCTTTAACTCTCTACCAACTTTATTAAGCTTTTGCTCCTCAATTGTTCGGCATGAACCATGAGACGAGATATGTCCATGCTAGGAATCAACATAGGCGACCTACACTCATTGACCACAAGATAGGATATCCCCATGAAAGATTTGTTCATCTTAGCCCTAGAATCCGCAATAGTAGTAGGATCATGTTTTGATAGTTGAGTGAACTTGAGAATATACTCCTTCACGCTATACCCCCTTGAAGAAGGTTGATAAATTCTTGCATTTTTTTCTCCCTTAATTCCAAGGGAAAGAACCTATCAAGTAAAGTTGTCTTGATAGCTCCCCCATGTAATCCAGCCTTCTGTAACCAGCCTCATATCCTTAAATTTCTCAAACCATACTTGAGACACATGTATGAGTTGTTAGGCGGCTAGTTCTGACTTTTATTTAGAAGAAACATCCATAGCATCAAGAATTTTCATCACTTCATCAATGAACCCTTGTGGGTCCTCCTCCACCTTAGAACCATAGATAGTAGGGGGATTCATCCTTGTGAAATCCCAACTCCTTGAAGTGGTGGTGTTAGCATTGGGGTTCACTTGCACCCTTGTATCGCTAGAAACTAGGGTAGCCAACACTTGAGTCAAGATACGAACGGCGACCTTATCTCAATATAGACATAACCCCTTATTAAAGAGGGACTTGAGGGTTTTGAGGACTTGAGGAGGAACTGCCTCATTCAAATTCTCCTCTTTGACCCTTCAAGCGTTGTTCCTTCTTTTATCCATTTCCTATAAGCTCAAGAAAGAGATTATAAGAAAGTATTGAATAAAGCCAAGACTTTCAGGCACGACTAAAGAATAACAAGAGAGTGAAAGTTCCTAAGCATCACATAGTCTCTCATTCATAAGTGTGGCACGCTTCACAATTATGAATAAGACCCTAAATAGACATTTTTAGTGAGACATCAACCCTAAGATCCCTCAACATCATGCTCTTATACCCAGTTTTTTACGATCCAAATTAATCACTAGGTGTAACCGACGTCTTAGTCCTCGAAGAGGACTTAGAAAAGCCCTTAGCATTCGTCATAGCACATCATAGGTAAAGAAAATATGGAAAAATGAAAAGTTTTCTTTTAAAAAAATATACTTATACTCCTCGCATATCGCTTATGGGGTTTACACCCCTCACTTATGAAACTTACATAGGCTTCTCACATAGCATTTATAACTCACTTGGTCCAATAGATAGTCTAACATTTAACTAACCACAAAGTGAATCACAATAGTTTGGGCAGTGACCTGGGTCAATTACAATATGCCCATATAGGCTACAAGGAAGTCACAACATGAGAATGAAATAATTGTATCAAAACATAGAAAAAACTAATAAGGCTTGATGGGCTTCTCTATCCTCGAAATTCATGAAGACTAATCAATCGACTTTATGAAGATCCAAGTCTTCTTATCCAATAGCTATGAATCTCCTCAATGGTCCGAACCTAAAATGTTTGGGAAAAAGGGAGAAATATGGGTTAGTACAAATCACATTTACTAAGTACGACTTCTATACATAAAAATCATTAATGCATAAGAAAAGGACATTTTCATAAACATTATGCTTTCTATCAATTAGACTCAACATTCACACATATATAAGCATAGAAAGTTAATTCAACATAATATCAATCAAACCAAGTATACAACCCAAGCAATACTTTTGCAATGCCAAGGATAAATCCCCATAACCCTATCCAAAGATAAGTATCACATTAAGAAACCCACTTCATACTTGCAAGATATTCTCATATTTCCATAACATGCTTTAGACATCAATACTACTTAAAATAATCATAATCATAATCATAATCATAATCATACTAATAAGAGAACAATAATAAAACCATCCCTTAGGATCCCACATGTGCAATGTGTAAGAGAAGTTTCATACTATCCCTTATATTATGTGGTAGACCTTAAGACAACCGTACTAAGACTTGACATACTTAACATATTCATTTACTTTTAGATTAGGGAGATAAGTGAAATAACCAACAAGAGAAAATGTGAGCTACATGGCATATTGTGTTCTACTCCCATAACAAAAAGAGAGGCTTAACACTTGTCTAATGTGTAACCATTCGTACGTAGCTATCTAGCTGGATGCACTAAGCTAGAGTCCTATGTGGGCAAATAGTTAAGGGTCAGGGAGATTGTTGCTAGAAACCTTGACTTAGTAGACATGTAGGTTTCCATCTCATAAGACAACACGTAACTAGGGAATCCAAACATACTAAAGTGAGGAAACTATGTGGGAGGACGGACTTAGTAAATGTGAGACCTCCATCTCATTTACATGCCCTTTTACTTCTAAGCATCTATTCTCTTTAGTAATGTTCATACTCATCATACAAGATCACATTAGTCTCTTCTAGAACCCTATGTGAACTTCTTATCATAATAGATCATAGAAATTCATGAGTGAGAACTATCCTTTCACTTTAGAGACCACATAAAAGTAAGTAAACATTTTACTTAATACTTTATCATATTAATATGAAACTACTTTCAATCATACAATAATCGTAACATAACATGAATACGTAGCTCATGTATAATTCAATTTCCTAGGATTAAGGATGAGCAACAACTATGATTACAAAACAACCACACATTATACATAGAAACATTACTATCTAAGTAACCCATGATTCACAATTGAATTTAAGAAGAACAATTCAACATACTTTCTTTTCCCCTTCCAAGAACATTCATACATCCATTACTAAAAATACATAAACATTTACATAAAAAATGTAAATTCAAGAAGATATTACATAATTAACAACAACATATTCGATCTACATGTTTATGATCTTCACAATTCATCATATCTATTCAAGGTTTTCATGAAATTGGGGGAAAGATATGGGTCAAGTGAAAATATCATAGTAAATAATCAATTAACCATCAATATATACTTGAACAACATAATTCATCACAATTGATTTATAATTTCATTTTTCAAAGAAGAACCATGTGAGAAGAAAAACCCTTAAGGTTCGTTCTTCTTGAATTCAATTATCATGTATGATTTACTTGTAATGCGTCTATGTATAATGTGTGGTTGTGATTTGATAGTATGTATTCCTTAACCTTAAACCTAGACTATTGAATTGACTATTAAGTATGAAAGTATTTTAAGATATGATCATTATATGATTGAAAGTATCTTCTCATGACTACGATTAATTGTAGAGTGAAAGTTTTACTCATTTGTATGTGGTTTTCTAAAGTGAAAGGGTAGTTCTCACTTATAATATCTATCAGCTATTATGATGAAATATTCACATAGTACTCTAAGAAGGGACTAATGTGATTTTGTATAAAGAGTATAGATTACTACTAAAGGAAATAAGTGCTTATCACCGAAAGGGAACGTAAATGAGATAGAGGTTTAATGTTTAGTATGTCCTGCCTCCCACATGGGTTTCTTCATATTTAGTAAGCATGGATTTCCAATATATGTGTTGTCTCATGATATGGAAACCCCCAAGTGAGTATGTCAAGGTTTCTAGAAACAATCTCCTTGACCCTTAACTATGTGCCCACATGGGACTATAACTTAGTGGATACACTTAGATAGCTATGTTGATTGGTTATACCTTAGGAAAGTGTTAACCCTCTCTTTTCGGTGTGAGATGATAACACAAAATTCCATGTAGCTCACATGGTCTCATGTTGTATATTGCACTTCTTTCCGTAATTTAATAATTAAAAATGAATAAGTCAAGTATGTGAGATATTACTAGGGGCTTATATTAGTTTTTACTACAATGGGTGAGGGAGAGTATGTGACTTCTATTACTCATTAAACATGTGGGATCCCAATGGAGGTTCTTAGTAGTGGTCTTGTATGATTAAGTTGATTTCATGGTATGTATATCAAGTTATATATGACCTTATGAATCAAGTATGTTATGATAAAATATGGAGTTATGATGTATGTGTGAAGTAGATGACTCATTGTGATATTTAGCTTTGGATAGGGTTATGGAGTTCTATTCTTGGCATTGCACAAGTGTTTCTTGAGTTTCTTATATGTTGGCTCGACTTATAATGATGTGTATGTTGATTTAATTGACACTAAACATGGTTTTCACTAATTGTGCTTTTTCTCATGCATTTCATGATTTTATGCTCATGAACCATATTTAGTGTAACACTATGAAAGTCTAAGACTTATTTAAGAGCCTAACATGAGTGTTTAAAGGTTGTATCTTTGTTTACGGTCAAATTTAATGCTTAAAATTCATTTAATAAGTTTTAGATTCAAAACATCAAGGAACGTCCATGACGTCGGAGAGTAGTGCAAAAGGTGCTAGCATGCCTTTGCATATTTGACTAGGTTTTAAGAGATAGAATATGATAAAATTTGGTGGTAAGGTGTCTAACACATATTAAAGTTTTTTTTAGGGTCAAAACTTTTGGTTACGAATCCTCAAGGACTTCCCAAAGGGTCCTTGAGGAGGACCATTGCATTGTGGCCAAAAGTTCTCTTGAGATAGTCGTTAGACGGTGTTATGCTACAAGGATTGGCCTGATCGACGAGGTGTCGATGGCCACCATCGATGGGCACTTATAATTTTTGTAAAATGTTCCAGTTTGGTAACTCGCTTACAAAAATGACGACTACATAAGACAGTGGGGGTCTTGGCCGTTGACTGACCTATGGCCCATATGTCGGGGTCTCGTAAGTCAGGGCCACTATTTTATTGTCAAGTTTTAATTAGTTAGTTTAATTAATTAATTTGGTTAGGGGTTTAATTATTTATTATGGGGTATTTAATTATGTTAGTTAATCAACTATATAACCTACCCAAAGCCTTAACTCAACTAAACTCATCTCAATTCCCAAACTCAAAGTGCCCTTCCTTCTCTCTACTCTCTCTCTCTCCCAAAGAAAATCCAACCAAAGTTCAAGGTAGGTTTTAGGGAATAGAAGTCAAGTATTGTTCCATAAATCTTCATAAAATACCAAGTTATGGGAACTCTTCACCTTTTTGATTCCTTTCGCCAAATGTTTCTTCCAAAATTGATTTTCAAAAGACGAGTTTGATGTGGGTTTCTGTCTATTATGAATTTGATCTTCTAAATTGATTTTTCTATGGTTTATTTTGGTTAATATTATTTTATTAAGATTTATTATGATTCAATAATGCTATTTCTTGATATATTGACCTAGTTTGTGGAGGATAACCTTTTCCCCTACATCCTAGGTTGTGATCTTAAATTGAATTGTATAGTAGTGATGTAATTTACTTGGTTTATGTGTAAATTACTATTCTATGATGTTGTTGTATCAGTTGATGAATGAATTTGGATTGCTTGATTGTAAGACCATGTTGATGACTATGGAAGAGGAGGAGGTAGGGGTTTTGTGTTCTTTAATTCATGACTTTATCGTGATGACTTATACCGACTGATGTTGATTCAAGTTTTAAGAACAGGTCTAATACTCAAGAGGAATCTAGGAGTGCTAAGGTGAAATTGGAGAAAAGAGGTCGTTCTTAAAATGTCAAACCTACATGTGTCACTTGTAGAAAGAGACATTATGGTGAGTGTCTAAGGGGTACTTGAGTTTCTTTGATTGTGTAAATGATGGACACAAGGTGAGAGATTGTCCTTCCATTTCTTCTATAGGAAGATAGGGTAAAAAAGTTTCTCCAAATGTTTCAAAAGATGATGTTCAAGAAACGAGGCATTTCTATACACTCCGGATTAGAGGAGAGAAGCCGGATGATGGTGAAGATGATGAGGGTAAGTCCTTTCATTTCCTTTTAGTTATATGAGTTTCTTTTAAAGGGGGAGTATGGTTGGTAGATGGGATAAAAAGTCATAGAAGCATGTTGTATGTGCATTATGTTTAGGAGTTTCGTTGAAATTGAATTTCATTAACTTCTTGTACTGTGTATTTTATGAAATTATGATTATGTGGAAAAATGTGTTTATATGATTTTACCTTGCATATTAGCATGTTTCTATAATCAATTACCTAAAAGTTGCATTTTTTTTGAAAAAAATTGCCTAATTATTGTAGCATTGGACTGCTCACTATTAAATTTTTTTAAAAATTGATTAATTCATTCTTTGGTTTAAAATTGTTGTAATGTGGTTAGAACTAATTTGAGTATGATATTGAATATAAAATGAGTTTTTGCTATTTGGAATGAAGCTTGTGAGTTTTATAACATAATGAGTCATAAAATGTTCTTACAGTTTATTGTTGTGTTGTGAATCTCTAGACTATCTAAAATAGATGTTCTCTTATATGTTAGAATTTTATTAGGTGTTATATGGAATGGTTATGATCTGCTAGTTGAATCTCTTTTCTTGGAAGTGTTCAAAGAGTGGTAAGTGTCATTCGAGGACGAATGTTGTCCAAGTGAGGGAAATGTAAGATCTAGAAAATGGCCTAGGTGGAATAGATCCTAACATGTTGTTAATGATGGTCTAAGGTCCAAAATAGGTCTATAATATGGTATTGAGGTAGTGTTTAAGAGTTTAGGTGCATTTTGAAGTCAAACGTAAAGGGACGACCAAGACATTTGACGTCTAAGTCACTTATGTTCCTCATATGTGGTTCTATGTCTTTTTATGTGATTCATGAGGTTATGATGTCCTTATATTAGTTTTTATGTTTTATATAGGCAGTGTGTCATGTTTAGTGAATTTTGGAGGTCAAACATCTAAGAACATCCATGATGTTCGAATGGTTTGCGCACGACCTTGTGTGTCTACACATATTTCTTTGTGTTTTACATGTTTGTTTTGGATGAAATTCATATGATATGTCCTAAAATCGTATATGATTATGTTAATGATCCTTGAGGAAGGACCCAAGTTGTTATCCAAGATTGTCCAATACAACCCCAAATGACTGAGGCAATCAACGACTCGTGGGCCAGTCAACGCCTCATCGATGGGTGGAATTGTTGTATACATAGGTGTGGGAGAAGATGCATCCAAAGACAAGCCACAACCCCAAACCATTGACCAATAGTATAGTTCGTTGGTCAAGGGACGGGCCATCGATGGGCAATCGTTGATGGTCTGTGTTTCCTGCACAGGCAACTTTTAAGTTGAGGGGTAAAGTTTTATATTCACCCCACGTCCTAATAAGAGTATTGGAGGTTCCTTGGGTCTTTATGGGATTTTAAATGTATTTATAAGCCTAAAACACTTAGAAGATTTTATTCTTCAAAATCAAAACCCAAATTCCATTAGGAATTCTCTAGAAATCCATTGGAGCCAAAACTCAAGAAAGAGCTTAGATTGGAGAATTAAGTGGAGATTCTTAATCAAATTGAAGAATTAGCTTCATTGTGGTACGATTTTCATCTTTGAAATTGTATTCATCAAAAATTCCATCTTTCAAAGATGTTATCCAAGAATTTCAAAGATGAATCATAGAATTTCATGATCTATGCATGGATTCTTGTATTAATGTTTTTTAAGCATTGATTAGTTATTGAATTGTTATTAATTTAATGATTTTTTATTAAATTAACCTATTAACCCTAGTTTTGACTAAGTTATGGGTTAAGTGATATTGATCTAATAATTACGAATTCTACTGTAGTTTTCTATAGGATATTGGTTGATGTAATAATTGCATTTAATTGATATATAGGTTAAATTAGATTGATTAAACTCTATTGAATCGACCTTGTTTCATTGACTATGATAATTTTTAAATTGTATTGATGTTCATGACCATTAGTAAGGGTCTTATGGTATTGAATTGGATGATTTCGCATCGAATTGAGGGGTTGAGAATGGAGTGGTAGTAGACTTCCATATTTCCCTTTATTTTATGTTAATTATACTTCAATTTTGTTGTGGTTTATATGGTCCACTAATGGTTTAGTGCTATGTACTTTACTTGTAATTGATGTGGCCTTGTCGCCGTTACTTTATGTATTTGATGATTATGACCTTGTGATCAACTACATGAAGTAATGTGTTCATTTGTGTAGTTTAATATGTGACGTACGAGAATATCTACCTATATGATAATTAATGTGAAAGTATATGTTGTTTCTTCTATTGATCTTACTTAGGTGATCATGTTAGACTATTTAGGGTTTTGTGTGTATAGTCTTATGGTTTGTGTATGATTATCCCTAATTGACTATATAAGTCTATTATGGTTATATTGATGATTATATTTTAGTGTATAGGATTACATAAAGATGATCATGGTTATTCCTATGTGACTTAAAGAATGACATGTAATATGTGTTACAGTAAGTAGGTTGTGCCTTGTCTTGGTTGACTTGTGTCCCATACTTGATAAATATATTAATGTGAATATGAGATGTCTTGACTTATCATTCTAAATTCTCTTTATTGTATGTATGAATGACATGTGACCTTAAATGATGTTAAGAGGGTCTTCGTGTGAAACGTTGAGCCTAGTGGTAAGGTTATGAATATTGTAGTCGAAAGCCGTAATGGTATGCTTCAAATAAAGGAATGATAAACTTAAGGTTGATTGGGTTAAACGACATCATATCAAACCTTAGGAAAGTCATGATGAACTTATTTTCACCATTGGAAGGTAGCCTTAGAGGAACTCTTTTGTAGCGTTAATGAGATTGGGTTATGAACTTTGTATGAAGCCCTTTACATGAACCTTTAATGTAAATTACTCTATGAAAACAAAGGCTAGCACTGAGAGAGTATGGCAAGAGAAGTATTTACAATTAAAGGATGAGACTAGAATACAAAGCACACCGTTCATATTCCTTAACCATGTGACTACATGGGATGTGTCCATGTCCTACCATTGGAAAGTAGAACACCCTCATCGGAGTAGGTTAGAATTCCAAATTCCATGCTTTTATATCATAGTCTATGTTAGTTATTGCCTATGCTCATAATGTGGGATACCCACTAGCATTAGATAAGTTCTATGAAGTTTAGATCATGGTATGAGACACTATCTAGATTACACAATAGTCTTTGAAAGTGTTAGTTAAAGTCCCTATGTATTGTCCAAGACCAGTACTTGAATGTCCTTATGTGATGAATGAGTCTTAAGTAAACTAATGAATGTAATGACTTAAGTTAAGAAAGTATGTTAAATGAATCAATACTTATCTAGAGTATTTAAGTGCTGTCTAGTTAAGGAGAGAAGGGGGAATACGTATGGTCACTTCGTATCTTACCTACATAAGTCTTATGAATGAATCTAGTTAGGGAAGATGGTTGATTTTGTGGACATGATCTAAGCCTTAGGTAGTCTTAAGGATTGCATAGGTAATATTTAAGAGGTCAATCATGGGCGTTATATTCTTGATTTACTTCATTAATTCTTTTGATAACCTTTATAGGAGAGAATGTCATAATATATAAATGCTAATGAATTTAGTGAGAATGATTCTATATTAGGTTGTCTATAGGATCTCTTAAGTGTGGGTGTAATAGATTTTATGTGCAGTATCTTTTTTGTCTTACTAAAATGACTCTTAGGATAGCTCTAAGTTAGGGTAATATATGCTAAAATGTATGTAAAGTGAAGATAAGGCATTTCACTGTAACAATGAAGAAGTTCAATGTGCAGTGAAGTAGTTCATTGTGTTTTTAATTGTTTAAATTATTTCTTATGTGTTTCTAAGTTGTTAAATGTTGTTCTTATGATTATAGTATGAATTTTTTTAATAAAATTCATGAAAAGCATGTTATAAACTAAATGACCCTTTTTCATTTTTTTTGCATGGCTTCCATACTTAGTGCGTCTAATATGCTAACCCTTTATTTTCCCTTTTTGACTAATGTGTAGGGAATTGTTATCCAAGACCAGTACTTGAATGTCCTTATGTGATGAAAGAGTCTTAAATAAACTAATGAATGTAATGACTTAAGTTAAGAAAGTATGTTAAATGAATCAGTACTTATCTAGAGTAGTTAAATGTTATCTAGTTAAGGTGAGAAGGGGGCATACGAATGGTCACTTCGTATGTTACCTACATAAGTATTTAGAATGAATCTAGTTAGGGAAGATGGTTGATTTTGTGTACATGATCTAAGCCTTAGGTAGTCATAAGGATTACATAGGTAATATTTAAGAGGTCATTCATGGATGTTACATTCTTGATTTACTTAAGTAATTCTTTTGATAACCTTTTTGGAGAGAATGTCATAATATATGAATGCTAATGAATTGAGAATGATTATATATTGGGTTGTCTATAGTATCTCTTATGTGTGTGTGTAAGAGATTGTATGTGCGGTCTCTTTTTGTCTTACTGAAATGACTCTTAAGATAGCTCTATGTGAGGGTAATATATGCTAAAAGGTATGTGAAAGTAAAGCTAAGGCACTTCACTGTAACAGTGAAACTGTGAAGTGAAGTAGTTCACTGTGATATTTTTCTAAAAATGTGTTTAATTGTTTAAATTATTTCTTATGTGTTTCTAAGTTGTTAAATGTTGTTCTTATGATTATAGTATGATGTTTTAATCAAAATTTCTTAAAAGCATGTTATAAACTAAATGTCCCTTTTTCATTTTTTTTGCATGGCTTCCATACTTAGTGCGTCTATTGTGCTAACCCTTTCTTCTCCTTTTTTGATTAAAGTGTAGGGAATTGGAAGTCTTGATATGCCATGGAGGATGGATAGGTTTCTTAGGGTTAAAGATGAAGTATTGGTGATTCCTCATCGATTCGAGGACAATATCCACGTGTTCCTTTATATCTTAGTCGTTATTTTATGTCTTGTATGGGTTTAGTCCCAATTGTTGTATACTACAAAGTTTATATGGTACAAGGAGATATTGTAAAGGTTTAATGTTCTAAATTAAAGTCTTCCGCTTGTGTAATATTTATGGAAAGATTTCTTCGTGTGTGAATAAAATTTTAAATTCTTACTCATTTTGGTTGGATTATTATGCAATGAATTATACCAGTGTCCTAGATGAGATTTCTTGAAGTCTTATTTGCCGTATAGAGACACAAGGACGTTCTAACTTCTAGGGTGTACTTTTGGATCGTTACATGCCATACTTAGTAAATTGTTTTGTACTAACCTAATACTTTTCTATACTCTATATGTAATGTTTTGGAAGCAAGCTTGAAGTCTAGAAGGCAAAGCTTGCAAAAGTTTCTCTCAATATAAAGTATGTTCTCATATATCTGAGGGGGTAGTTTAATTCCACACTACTTTGCATGATTTATGTAATGAATGATACTTAAAGGGCTTATACAACACTCCAAAGGGTCAAGTACGCCCATTAATGACCCAAGGGTTCTACCTAACTTCTAGGGGGTACTTTCAAGTTGTGATAGACTTGGTATCAGAGCATAAGGTTATGAGAAATAGTTTAGGGTCTCAAAGTCTCACAAGCTCTAGTGGTGTCTCGGTCATTGGTGTGAGTCGCGATGCATCCATGAACAAGAGGCTATAGGACGACAGAGTTTCAGTTTATTCATTACTCTTGAATCGTTCCATAGAACTTAACTCCATAAGGCATTTGTCTCTTATGTTCCCTTGTACGATGGTCTTGTAGTTGTGATTTCTTGGAAGGGGAGATGGAGAGAAAATATGAGTTTTGATGTTATGATGGTTTTATGGCTATAAGAGTAGATATGAATGTATGTTTTCAAAATTTTGATGTGATGACATTTACGGCTATGTGTGACTTATAAGGTTGGAAGTATTCTGATGAGAGACTTTATGGTAATGTAGTTCTAAGCAAAGTAAGGGTTATAACGATTCAGTAAAGTGCCTTTGATAATAAATGAGTTATCTTGTGACTATGTTCAATGATGGTAGAATGTTTTAAGGTGTAAATTTGAGGAATGTTAAGAGAATGTGGAGATTTTGTAGGAGTTGAGGGCAACCCTCTTATGTGGTTAATGTTTTAATAGTTGTTCTTGTGATTTTGTTGAGGTTCTTGTGTTGGTTTACACTAAGCAGTAAATGTGGTATGAATATATGGTATAGGAGTCTTGTTCCATTAGATTGAGTTAAGTGGTGCCTAAGAGTCTAATGAGGTGATGTTTAAGAAAGTTTGTCTAGGATTAAATCCTAAGAGCAGAGTATGATGCTTGACTAATAGAGTTGATGTTTAGTATTGATGTGCATGAGTCGATGGTAGTGCTAGTTCCTTCCTTGTGAGAGGCATAATAGTGCTTTGAAGTATGAGACCTTTGAAGATGACTTTGAGGGGGAGAATGATTTGAGTAGAAAAGTTAATTTTGAGTATGAAGTGTATGAATGAGTTAAGTTGTATTGTATATAAAGTTAGATGACTTAAGGTCTAGTGTTAAAGAAATTGCGTAGTAGTGTACTTAGTACAGGAGAATCCTCAAGGGTCATTAAGTGGGAGTGGTAGTATGGGATGCTACTCTCATATTGCACTTAGTGTAACTTGCCAAGTCTATTTGGAGTATGTTTATATGGTCTTGTCTCTTATATTGTCATGCCATCTTGTTAAAGTTGCATGAAAGGTGCATTATAGAATTTTTAAGAAAGTGACAGTGAAATTTTGAGTTCACTGTAGAGAAGTCCAAATTTTTAGAAAATTGCATTTTTCATGAGCAATGATTGCAATGTATTTATATATGATGTTTATAAGCATGTTTAATATTAAAGAAGGAAGTTTCTCCATACGTAAAGAAATGAAAGCAAGATTGAAATTGTGATGTTTTTTAAAGTTGCATGTGTACAATGATGCTCACAATTAAAATCTTCATTTTTGAAAAAAATTGCTTTGTTTTGAAATGTACTTACCACGTGTGGAAAAGAGGTTGTATATGAGTATGTTTAATGTTTGATAAGGTATTTCCTCCATATGTGAAGGATAGGAAAAGATTTTGAAATGCTAGAGTTTTGCAAAAGTGCTTGTGTTGCAAAGTGTTTGAAAGTGTGAAATTGTTATCCTTTCTAGATAGTTACTTGAATATGATTTTTTGGCCTTGATTTTAATGTATTATGTTATGCTAACTGAGTCCTTGATGGTCTTAAATTTTTTTATGTCATTCGAGGACGAATGTTATTCCAAGGGAGGGAGAATGTAACACCCTAAAATGAACTAAGGTTAACTAGAGATTAGTGAATGTTTCTTGAGTTAATTTTAAGTTAAAATGAGGTATATAGATGTTCTTATGCAGTGTTTGATATTTGGAGGTAAAACGTCCAAGAAAGTCCATGCCGTTCAGAAAGTGTGCCTTAGAAAGTGCTTGTGTGTCTTGATGGGTTTGAGTGAGTTTTACATGTTCGTTTTTCTCGAATTTATGTGGGTTGTTCCTATGACTCAAATGAATATGTTTATGGGTTTAACGCCCGGGTACTACCACACCCAGGACCCACAGGGGACCTAGAGAATGTCCCAAAAGAAGGACCCCAAACTGCCTTGGCAGTGTCCACTTACGAGGGCAAACGATTGCCAGTGGTCAAACCAACAGCCCGTCGACTTTCCCCGTAGGTCAGACCTCCAAGGTGGTCTAGCCAGGACTCAAATGGATCTAAGTTTCAACGTACAAAGCCCACCAAAAGACTGTTGAAGGACATACGGTCCATTGGTTGCATCCGTCGATGGTTCTGCCAAAGGCTGCTGAAAAATCTGACAAGGCTTGGGGTGTTTGGTAAATTCACTCCAAGTCTTTTATGAAACTAGGAAGTCATTTCTACGGTCATTTAGGTATATTAAAGTATTTTAAACCCTAAGACCTAATTTTAGACTCCATTTCCTAAAACCTAAAACCCCTCCCTCTGAGAAGACTCTCCCAAGTCACCAAGCTAGAACTCAGGAAGAGCTAGAAGGGGCTATTGGTGATCAAGTTCTTCATAAAAAATCATTGGGGTTTCTTCTATGTGAGGTATGGAAGTCATCCTTGTACTCTCGTCCATTCAAAGAGTCCTTTCTAATGGATTTTCAAAAAGTGTTTTCAACCCCAGTTACCTCTATATTCAACGCTAAATATGAGTCTTGCATGAAAACATTTTGAATGATTTAAAATGATGTTTCTAAGGTTAGTTGATGATTTTAATGCTAAAACTTCAATGAAAGCATGTTAAAGCTTTTTATCAAATTTTGGCTTAAGAAATGGGTTGAATGAGCATGATAGTGTAGTCTTTGAGCCTTAATTTCTTTGAATTGGTGTTATTGTTTAGATACTGACCTACGGGCTAATTTGTGATAAATGTTTGAGTAAAATGCTATAGGTGATGGAAGCTTGGATTACAGGGTTAGTTGGTTATGCTATTTAACTTTAATTATGAATACTCTTGAGTGGTATGGCCCACCTTCTTGGTGGCGGTATTAACTTGAATTATATCAATGTGTAGTTACTTGTAAATTGTGAATAGTCCATGAATGCATATGATGTGAAGAAAGATGGAAATGAATTTATTCGTGTTAATATGTTTTTATGAAGCTAGTTATGAGAAGTAGTGTAGGGAGTATGCCTAAGTGAATTTTATATTATGTGAAGCATGTAAAAGTGTGTGATTTAATGAAATTAAGTCTAAGAATGTATAGAAATAAATATAAATGAAATGATGCACGGTGTGCCCACATGTACCTATACATTCAAACTTGATTAAATGCGTGAAGTTAAGTTGAAAGGGGAATTTTTTGGTGAACACTTATTGTTAGTAGAGATGAAGTGTTTAGTAGCAAGACCCACTAATTTCAAGACCTTTCTAATGTAGTTTGGAGGATGTATACACTTCGTGAGTTGAGAAGTGGTGTCCAAAAGTTATCCTTGACCTTTAGTAATGAATGTTGAGAATCCGTTGGGAGTTATGCCTAGCATTGAGAGGATATGAAGAAGGGGTGGTTACACTTCGTTATTTGAGATGTTCTATTCTAATGTAACTCTTGAAATGACTGCTCATCGTTAGTAGAGAATGAGTTACTTAGTAGCAATCTCCTTATCCCTTAACTATCCGCCTGCATAAGTGTAGCTATTGGGCAAGCCATGTAAAAGCTAAAAAAAAGTAAGACCTAACCCTATTCAAGTGAGTGGACCCTTCTCCGATAATGGAATTATCGGGATTCCATATTTAGCTCTTCATGGTCTATGTCGATTAATCTAGCTCCCACAAAAGAAAAGAAATTTCTAAGTCTTCTAAAAGAGTGTAGTACTTAGGGTAGGTAGTAGAATGAGATGGTATTTAGTGTTAGACCCCAAAAATAACTTAGGTGAAGCTATATCCTTACATGGTTGTCGTGATGGTCTAAGGTCCTAAAATGGTTTGTAATGTAGGTTTGCGGAAGTCTCTAAAAGTTCACGTTCTTTAGAAGTGAAACATCAAGGGACGACCAAGACGTCCGACGATTAAGTCTCATATGTGCCTCACATGTTGTTTTACGTGTTTATGTGTGATTCATGAGGTTATAAGATTCTTAAATGAGTTATTATTGTAACAACCCTAAAAATGGATATGCTAAGCAATGCTTAATGTGTAAAAGAATGCCTACGATTAGACCGGGTTCACACAGATTAATGCGTGTAGAACCAGACCTTTGAAACTTTTGTGAAAGCCAAGCCATCTAACTTGGGGAGTTAGTTGAGCTAGTAATGGTTGGGTCCAGCCATGTAGGGCTCCCGAATATGGAAATTTACGCGAATGAGTCTTTACCGAATAGAAAAGGGGAAATCTTAAGTTTGGAGGGTCTAGGGATAAAATTGACTTTTTTCCGGCTAAGGGTAGTATCGTAATTACCCTAAATATTTATTTAATTATTTAATTAATAATGTGGAGGGGAATCTTGGGAAGAGAGGGCTGAAAATTGGCCTTTGAGTGAAGTCTTGCTCCACCCGGGTTTGAACCTGGGTTGAATCAATGATTTAAATTGTTTTAATTAAACTGATA